GGATAACGTGTAAGCACTCTACAGCAGTATTGCGGTGAGCATCAAAACCTGATGACCAAATTAATGTCAGCCTGAGTGGATTTGAAATACCTAAAAAACTCACAGACCGTTGAGCTCCAAGAGCTGATTGAATAACACTTCACCAAATTCTCTATCCAGAGATTCACATTTGTGTAAGATGGCTTTTTGATCAGCTTTTGTTGTTCTAGGAATTTCTTTAATCTCTTGAATAAATTTCAGGTTTACACTGTCTCGTATACCATATTTTTTTGATAGATCAGAGAACTTCTTCCAACATTTCGGATTTCAAACTAGATTCCAGAGCTCCTTTGTACACGTTTTTGTGGATTGCCAATCACAATAGTGGAAAGGTTTCTGGAATACATAAATAAGTAAACAGTTAGATTGGCTTGTCTTTTTTCTAGATATCTTTAATTGTGTACTGGTATTCCATCCTTATCAATAGCGGTTCTCAAACCTAACCCGGTTTGTAAAAATCCCGGTATACCCGGTTGATTTGTGGACTGGGTGGACTGGGTACGTGAATTAAAAAAACCAGTCTAGCCCCCCTCACCGCCACCATACACCTCTGCAGCTATGCCACGCAAACAACGCAAGACAGCCCCTTCTGATACCGCATCATCTCATACCCCAACTCCAATCACAAAATCTCCACATACAACTCCCGGAACTCTTTCAACTTTCACTCCAGTATCAGGGGTCCCAATTGCTTCACTTGGTCACGGTTCACCCACCACTTCTCTCTCTCAAATTCACCTCATCCATTTGGGGCAAGCTTTGGCAAACTCAGGATCACCAGTGTTTATCTCGGTTCCAACTCAAACCCCACCTTTGAATCTCAATCCAACACCTCTCACACCTTTGGGATCTCAGCCAGAAATAGCGGTTTCTATGAAATCGAAAAGCAAAGAGTGCACCGTTTTGGCCCAAGGCAAACAAGGGCGAGGCAGACCAAAGAAATCCGACATTGAGGTTGATGAAGAGAAGTCAAAGGGTGCTCAGGTGTTGTGGTTTGTGGAAAGAGCCGACGGATTCAACAACCTCGACTTGGTTGCTTTGTGGTGTTCCGAGGAAGACAACTACAATTGATGGAGATCGGCAACTCCAAGCCAGATAGCGGTATCTGCTGTTTTGGCTGCTCATATAAAACAAAAGGGTCACCCTGAGCAATCACCAAGAGAGGTTGACAAGAAAGTAAGTCTTGTCTGCCACCTCACCTTTCCATCTTTTGCTTTTCTATACATATTAATATCTTTGATCGAATTCATTTACCAGATCAAGTACCTTGAAGATAAATTTAAAGATGCTTATAAGGAATTCAACTTGACTGGCCAAGGTATTCTTGGAGATGCAGCTTACAAGGATCAGCTTGAACAGATGGATTTGATTGCAGTTAATGTCAACAGTGATGGTGAGGATGTGGTGGTTGGAAAAATTTCTTCCACTAGGAAGAAATGTAGTCGCAAAGCATCTACAAATGCTTCTGCGCTTGGTGCGTGTTTGATCTGATACCTTATGATTACTTCAGCTGATTATCTTGTATATTTTCGCAGAGAAAGCAATGTCTATTTGCCCATGGTATTGTGTGTTATTAAGCGCAATGCGTCAACGCTCAAACATCACACCCGAAGCAACTCTTGATACTTTAGGAAACACACCTTACCCCAGTTTTGATTTCAACTCAAATTTCAGTAACAGCCAAATGGATATCAACAATGTGGACAACATTGGCAACGGAAATACTCCACCTCAAGATGTAGTTCTATCCAATTCAGAGGAGAAGGAGGTTTTCAAGGAGGAAGAGGATTTGAAACCTCACGGGTCCCAAAACAAAAATAAAAGTAAGTTCAGATTGTCATTTATCTTAATGAATTTATCTTAATGAATCCTTATTAATTGAAATCCTTTTTAGGAGCTAGGATTGGCAGTGGAACTCGGGATACTCTTGGTCTTCAAACTCTCATGAACAATTTTCTTCCCTCCAAATCTGAACGGGCAGCTACTGCGAGAGAAGAACAAAAGAAAGACAAACAGCAACTGCAACTGAACTCAAAGATAGCAAAGGCCATCACTGTGATGTCACAAAATCGAAAAGAAGATGTGCAGCTAACAAGGGAGCAACTACGTGGGGAAGCCATTACGAGATTCATTGGAATGGGTGATAATTTTGACAAAGCCTTCAAAAAGGCTTCAATGATGTACCTGCAACCTCAATCGGCTCCGGGGAACTCACATCGCGCCAGCAGTTCTCGTTTGGAAAGAAGGAACGATGAGGAAGTGTATGAAACCTCGGACTCCTCAAGTGACAGTGATATTCACTTGTCTTAGGATCACGTGAGGTTCAAATGCTGGATTTTTTAAAGGTTCCAATATAAATGATTCCTTTGCGTGAATCCACCAAGTACAATCAAAATACCAAAGCTTCATTTTGTTTACAAAAATACCTGAACAACTGGTCTTGTCTAGTCTTGTTTTCCTTTACTCCCAAAAAAAATCAATTTGACCAAACTTTTGTTTGTTATTTGTGAAAACATCAAACACATGTTTGAATTTTAACTCATTTTCTTTATCTTTTTTCAAACTCTCCAAAAAAGACCAAAAAATTATTTTAACTTGTTATTTTTCAAAGTTCAAAAAGTTGTTTATTTCAAATATATAAAAATATGTCTTGCTACTTTAAATATCTACAAGATATTTAACTTATGGTCCACCAAATTCTTTATGGGTGTTCTCGTGAGAATATTCAAAATATCAGCATGTTTGTGCACTTCAAAGGTAGAGTAGAAAAATTTAAAAAATAACCAACAGAAGCAAAAACAACATTTGGAATACATGTAATAAGTAAATCCCAAAACCTGAGTCAAGACATGGTAGATAGAAATTCTTGAAATAAAGCATCTTGCCTTTGTTCAGATAGTCGTGAATTGCCTAAAGCCGCACAGGCCTCTTCTTCTCTAGTTGGAATTGGCTCTTGGTGGTTTTCCCAGTCTTCTGATTGTACGAGGTCCCAAGATGCATCTTCTTCTTGTACATAATTATGTACAACACAGCATGCTGCCAGCCATGAATTAAGTCGCGCAGCAGTGCGTCGGTCGCGGATCACCAGTCTAGACTCTTTACAAGATTGAGTCCGCCCTTTCCACATCCCATTGATATGTTTGGATACTATTCGAGCCATACTTAATGCAAAATTAAAATGCCGGTGTGCACGGTCCAGTTCTGCACCTCTGGGCTTCTTGAAAGCAGGAACAATGAATTTAGAGGCACTGTAGCCTGAGTCCGCTAAGAGGTACTCTCCGGGGCTGAAATACCGGTCTATGTTTGTATAAAACTGTGCGACACAGTCAGTAACACACCCAAAATATAAGCTAACTAACTTCACTTACCTTGGTCGATTTTAACACTCGTTGATCATGGGCGCTCCCACACCATCTGTCAGCTATGAGAAGTTCTGCAGAGCAGAACATCCAAGAAACTGACAAATATACATACAGCCGGTCCTATAAACCTTGGACGGTTGTAATTTGCTTTTGTTGTTTTGATTTTTTGCTTTTGCATTTGTAAATGCGCAAAAAGTTTTGAAAAACACTTTTATAGGCTGTTTTTTTGTTTATCAGCTCTCCTCTATCAGTACACAGTGATTCTCGAAAAAAAAACAAAATGTTATAGGTCGTACATATGCACAGCTGTTCTCAAAAAGGTGGTGTTTTTAAAAAGAAATTGGGCAGTTAGGGCCACTAGGGTTGCATGTACTTTACCTAGTATTACCCATGAAAAACCAATACCAGCCACATCATTAATACCACATCAAACAGCTCAATCGATCCACCCACCCACAAATCCACCGATAATATCTGCTGTTCTGCTCGATATACCTTTGAAGAGTGAGTTCACTACCCTCTAGTATTCAGTTTGTCATCTGATTATGTTTCATACACTGATTTCATAACTGAACTTACTTCGATAAATGAAAAAACCTTTAATCAAATCATACTCCGAATTATCAATTTGTCTCTCAAGACTTAATCATTGGAAAATATCCTTCAAATCCTAATCAAGAAGAAACCCTCATGGAGAACTGAGCGATTCTACGTGTATGTGTACAGGCAGTGCAAGGGATGTAATGTGAGTGAAAGTTCAACTCTAAGTTGGTAATCCAAATCAGATCAGTTGTTGACATTGTTGAGAGTAGACTCAGAGGGTATCTCAAGTCAAAGATGGAACTCGGTCAAGATCAACTTCCGATCAATCTATCTGAATTTTTGTCAAATTATACAACTCGAGCTGGAATTCCCAAGAAAAAGGAAACTATTGGAACCAAATTAGACAAACTGGGTGTCAGTGGTGAACCTCTATCTTTCCCTGGAATACCATCCTGTGAATCCTTTATCACCCTTTACACCTACCCCTTCTGCAACCTGTCCAGTACCTCCGGGTTTACCTACAGCTACTAATCCAAATCCTGCAGAAGGAAATATAGTTGACTTGCAAAGTTTACGTGTTGACCTTGATTTGTCAACAAATTTCTTATCATCAATTAAGAAATATAAAATGTGTATGTAAAACAATAGAGATCGTTGATGTTGACCTTTTTGATCAAGGAGACATTGTACATTCATATGGTGAAGATGTGATTCCAAGTGACATGTTCTGAACATGCTTTTTTGACCGTTTTGGTGATTTGTTTGTCATCCAAGGTGTATATCCACATTACTGATCATGGTTGACTAGGTGTAATAACCAGAAATCAATGTATACCAAGAATATCAAAATTATAACCAGATGAAATTTCAAAGTCTATTTTCGAATCAGAGCAAGAGTATTTGATTTCAAAAAAACAGAGAATAGGAGGTTTAACTTGATTCTTGGTCTCAAGTGCAAATGAGTCCGTTGAAGACTAGAACAAATGTAAAAATACAATTAAGAAATCAATGCTTGAGAAGATCAGAGTTGAGCAGTTCAATCAATATTAGCTGAGCTCAAGACAGTAAGAGTGGCCACTATGATTAAAAGAATGTATCAGTTAGATGTCAGATTCAAGAGGATCTCAGATTCAATGAATTCATAAACTTACCCGCAACACTTGGAGGGTTTTTGTAGTAGTAAAAGGTACATTGTGTCCATATTTATCTAATGTGATCGTGTTGAAGGCTGTACTAGGTTGAGGAGGGCCAGGAAGGTGTCCTTGAAGGATCACTACGACAGTAGGAGAACCAAGTGTCTGTGTGAATCGAGGTCGACCCGGTGAGACAGATACAGTCTTGGTGGCATAAACTTTTATAAAGGAAAGGATAGAACATCAACTCAAGAGTTTTGAATTGAGATTGAAGCTCTGAAGGACTAACCAGTGTCTGTACCTGGATACAAAGGTGGGGGGACCACATTGTCGCGCGGTTGAAGCCATTGTTTTGCTTGATTGTGCTCTGGATCAGCGTGTCCGATCAAACCTTCTAAGACCAACTGGTTGGTTGATTGACTTGGTTTTTAACTAACTGAGAAAAAGTATCAGAGAGAAGAAGAGTTTAAATGTGGGTTCTTCAGATTCAATATTGGATGACAATGTATCTGAGATTTGAGATGAGTCTTGAAAGATTACCGAAGGTGTTTTAATTCGAGAATTTGACTCAGGGTCAAGGTCACAATTTGTTTGAAGCCGCCTTGAGTATGACTCTTCCTCTTCAAGCTCAGATGAAAATGAGGTGATGACCGAGTGACGTTTGAAGGTTGATTCCTCTAAAATTTGCTCACATCCATTGGAAGCATTAAGCATGTTTTTCATTTATCGAAGTAAGTTCAGTTATGAAATCAGTGTATGAAACATAATCAGATGACAAACTGAATACTAGAGGGTAGTGAACTCACTCTTCAAAGGTATATCGATCAGAACAGCAGATATTATCGGTGGATTTGTTGGTGGGTGGATTGATTGAGCTGTGGTATTAACAATGTGGCTGGTATTGGTTTGTCATGGGTAATACTAGGTAAAGTACAACCCTAGTGGCCCTAACCGCCCAATTTCTTTTTAAAAACACCACCTTCTTGAGAACGGCTGTACCATATGTACAACCTATAAAATTTTGTTTTTTCTTCAAGATCCACTGTGTACTGGTAGAGGGGAGCTGATAAACAAAAAAACAGCCAATGAAAGTGTTGTTTAAAGCTTTTTGCGCATTTACAAAAGCAAATACAAAAAGCGCAAAGTGCCAAAGCAAAAGACAACTGTCCAAGGTTTATAGGACCGGCTGTGTGAGGGTAGGTGCTCAGGAAGAGGACTCTAGGCTCACTAATTGGGCAATTGGTGGGTAGGATTTCAATAACTCTTATTCTTTATTTCCTATATGTAGTATCTACAAGTGAAATAAAGAAAAGAAGAGAAAGAAAGAAAATAGAACTAGTAGTCTGTTGGGACAAATCCAGACAGACTACAGTTAGGTGACTCCTTAAAAGGAGATTATAGATAATAACTAGTATTATTATTAATGGCTGAGGGTTGGATCCAACACCCTCCTTCAATCTTCTGTTGACAGAGTTAAAGGGTGAGATAAAGATCACCAAACTAGTTGTTCTTATGGTCACTAACCTTGGGTTATTCTTATGGTCACCAACCTGAAAGTTCTTCTTAAGGTCACTAACCTGGGGCTGTTAGAGGTCACCAACCTAGTTTGATTTCTACTTGGGGGAAGTAGAGGATCCAGAGGGATGTGAAGGAATGTATTACTTACTTTTAATCAGGAAACTGATTAAAGTTGTAAGAAGTTTATCACTAGTCTTATCTTTGTAAGACTCTTGATATGTACTTCTGTAGAACTTTAATATTGTTCTTTAAAAGTGTAGTGTAATAATTGCTTGGGGGAAATTCCTTGAAGGCTGAGAGGGGAGGGGTTTATATACCTTCCTCTCTAAACCTAACTGTGGTGATATTTGTGATTATCACTACATTGGTTCAGGGTTGATCATTAATATATGTTAATGATTATTACTAGTAATGCTTAATTACATATACATGTTATGTATAATATGTACTATAAGCATTTTAACTCTTGACACTGAGTTATGAGGTGTAAATAGTGTTTTGTTACATATTACATGTTGTTTTAAGTGTACATGTGTATGTAATGAGTGTTTTGGTACATTGCATTACATGTTACATATAGTCTAAACTCAGTATGTACATGTAATTTAATTTATACATAATATTTTTAATGTTACAAGTTAGTTTTGGGTACATGTATATGTACTCAGGGCTGACATTCCCCACCCTCAAAGGAGGTCATTACTTCTTTTCAGAAGGTTTATGAGCTCTTTTTTGGGCTCTGAAGTCTCTTAGGGTTGTCTTGCCATTGGGCACTTTATCAGCTGGCAGCCATTCATCTTCATCTGCACTTCTCTTTTTGTATCTCACCAGATATAGAGTTGCAGATTTACCATTGACTTGTGTTTCTCTTTGTTTTATTATGTGTGAGAAAACTTTTTCTCCGTCAGTTTCAAACCTGATAGGAGTTTTCTTGGGTATTTCCCTGTCAGGGAATTTGCTCTCATCTGAAGCATGAAACTTCTTGATTAATGAAATTGGGAATACTGGATGTTTTCTTCCAAATTCCTCAGTTAGTGCTACTTCTACTGCATTGCTACCATGAAACTTTAGTATTATAAAAGGCCCTACAAACTGGTCTTGAAGTTTCTTTGGTCCTTGCAAATTTGTGAAGTTTGTGGTGGAGAGTAGAACTTGTTCTCCCACTACAAATTTGGGCTCCTTGTGAGTTTTAT